CCACAGTGTTTTGGCCAACTGCTTCCACGCATGCTGTTACTCTCTTGTAGATTTTTGATGGATGGCAGTGCATTTTGATGCTTTGCCAGATACATGATTTGAAGTAACATATTTTTAAGTCTAGTTCTACTGGAATTGGTCAAATAACTGTAAAGCACACTTCCTAAATCCAAAGGGTCAACACGTCAGTGCAACTATCACCAATGACTGCAAGTGCACATACAATCATATACATTTTAACTTCAAAAAATGCTACAATTTACAGGAAAGGTCTGCCAAGCAAATTTTCCATCTGTACAATTTATAACACACTCTATTTTAAGATGTCACACTTTTGGGACTTTGATATGAGAAAGGTAACTTTGGAAATTCAAGCAAATGACAATGCACAGTGCAGTGCTAACGACCCTTAGGCAATTGTTATTTTGCACTAGGGACTATATCCACTGCATAAGTCAGTGATTTTCAACTAGTCAAGAGGCTACCATTTACTGAGGTAACAGCTTTTGCTAATCTGAGGAACAAAAACACTGCCCCTTAACTCACAGCATGGTATAGTCCCCAACTTAAAATATAAAATAGAAATTAAGGGATCCATCTGCACCTACAAAGTTCAGAGTGAGGAAAGCAGAAGGCAGAGTGATAAAATGGCCTTATATAAGCAGAAGGTGGAAATACCAATCCGTATATATGGTACATAAATCCAAACCTATTTAAAAGCATAAGAACACCCAGCATCTGTCTCAAATCAACAGAACCATGTGGATGGCAACGCCGGCACTTGGGCAATTCCCCACCAGAAAACCCCTGTACTTCAGTCCAGTGAAGCCAGGGGGTCCCTTCTGCAGCTACTGAGCACACACCCAACCAGATGGGGGGGAATCGGTGCAGCTCCACTAATCGTGCCGAGAGAAGCAAAGGCTGCAGGTCTGGCTCGTAGGAGACTCACTCCCCCTCCTTCCCTTCCCCAAGCTGAGAGGAATTTAAACCAGCCAAATATTTTACCTGAGATGACAGAAATGATGACACTTGAGAGATGCCACTGACAACCCCTTGACAAAAACAGGATACCAAACATAAAAACATAAGGATCGTACAACCAGTAGACCGTGTGCGCACAGAGGTTCCAAGACATGAGTAATCCCAGGACATCTTGGATGAGAAGGTGCTGCAAACCGTAACAAAACCTCTCCGGAGTGTTTCCTTACTGACCTTCCCACCAGTGAGGCCCACACTGGGTATCTGCTTAAGACAGCTTCCCTTCTGACCCATAAGTGTTAACAGTGACAGAGAGGGAAATGCCAATGCCCCGTTGGCTTCTGCCCTTACCTCCAGCCTGTCGTGGATGTGGCACAAGGCACAGGCACAAGATGATCAATGCGTAACCACTGGGAAAAGCAGAACCATAGGTCATCCTATACTGAGATCATCAATTACAAATGAAAGCCATGTATGTCTTTACATGGTCTGTATGACATTACATCATACAGGGTGCCTTAGCTAATGAATCTTCTTTGCGGACACRGAAGACTTGACCATGTGTACCCCGGCTTAACCTCCCCGGGCTTTGGCAGAGGTTCAGAGCCGACCCGTGCGGTGCATCAGTGTCTGGCTGGCAGGTCTGCAACGTCACGAGGCTGCGGAGGAGCAGCAGCAACAGCTCCTCCCTGCMAGGGCTGCACCCAACACGCACGGGCAGCAGCTCTGCACCTCCACAGCAAGCAGCGAGACGAGCAGCTAAGCCGTGGTCAAAAACACCCTCCTTAAATGTGGCCTTCAGCCCTTGCCCTTTGATGAAACAGCAGCGTATCACAAAGACTTCAGCATACTGCATACAAGCTATTACTAACAGACTTTTTATGAAGTTATTTTCTACAGCTTATATATCCGATCACTTATTTAGAAATAGCTCTGTCCAGGTTTAGAAATATTACACACYGGCTGATTTCCCTTGGTGCATTTAACTCTACTTCTCTTTGCCACGCTGTAGCAGAGACACATAAGCAGGCATCAGCGGCAGCCCCTCAAGCACAGGAAAAGCAAGGGGAGTTTTTTCTCCCAACTGAGAGCCTGCAGCATTACGAGGCTGCAGTAAGTACACTTAAGTCCTGAGAATAAGCACGTTTATTCTGACTCAGTAATTTCCCTTCGAAGGGCAACACTACTATTTTACCCTTTCATTCCTGCATTCCTAAAGCTGAAGCAGACCTTCATATCAGAGGGAAAAGACAYTACCACAGAGCTGCTCTCCCAGATGTTTGGTAAGATGCAAAGGCTAAGTTATCATAAACTGCAGCCCAACAGCTRGCCTACTATTAATTTCCTTTGCCTTATTTCTTTTCTGGAGCACATCTATAGCTAAAATAATTGGAGAAGAATAAGCCACATAAAAATCAAACTTTGATATCAAAGGCACCTATGAAAGSCAATTCTTCCACATGCAATATGTGAATGACCATTGCTCTTTCACTAAGAAAAGCCATAAGCAGGTATTTAAGGATGTTAAGGATGGACAGAATTTAAATTTACAAAGAAATCATAACAAAATTGTCTTTTATTGGCTTCCATCTTGTATCTGCTAACAAAACTCCCCCACTTGCAAAGTACCTGCAAATTCTGCATTGCTTGGACCTGTGTGGCCTTTTCAGAGATTTTTCTTTTTCTTTTTTTGACAAGGAAAATGCAAAAAAATCTTGCAGATGTTAAATACACCACAGAATTATTATTTCTAGTTATGTCCACAGAAAGAGTATCTATAGAACCCTTTTCTTCTTTACTTCATTTTATTGAGGGGAGAATCCCTCCAAAACAGGAGTTCCTGGAGCTAAGCAGACTCTTTTTGACCTAGAAAAAAGCACGATCTGGATTTGCCAGCCCATTCAAACAGGCAGAAATAGCGAGGATGCAGCTTAGGTCTAAAAGAGGCTGCAGCTCTGCCTCCACCGCACGTTCCCAGCTCTTTCTGCCCTCTGCTCRCTGCCAACTCGAGTACTCGTGCAGCTACAGTGAGGGGCTATTTTGGAGAACCAATAGTCATGACAATAAACACCAAGTGATCGTTTCCAGACAGACCAACTTTCTAACTTGGGGCTTCCCATGTAAATCYATGTTTACCCACCAGAGCTCAAGGGCAGGAACACAGCAATTAGGGTGCGGGTTGGCTTACGCTGTAGCACAGTGCCACGGATAGGGAAGGGTTTCTGCTCCTCTCCCCGCCTTCTTCCCCAGATTTATGTGCAATGAGCTGATTACACAGCCACAGGATCACGAGGGCAGATCAGGAGCAGCCTCGTGGCAGGAAGAAGTCTTGCAAGTTCTGGTGAGGCTACTGCAGGAAGGCTCATTATCCTTGAGCAGTTATGAGGAATGGGATCAAGACAAGAGACTTTCTGTGGAAATCCAACTAGTCACAGCATGAGAGCAACTGAACACAGATAAGCAATGCTTACAGAGACCGTTTTTGCTTTGCTTATTTGATAATAGCCCTGACAGCAGGATCTCTTAAATGTTTTGTTAAATTGTTATAGCTTAGAGATTACATTACCRCAGATTCTCCTCTCACAAGGAGCTCCCGACAGGAGGCGATGAAATCCCCATCTATCAGCTGCATCACGCCGCTCCTCCGTAAAGCATGCCATAAACACCCACACAAACCTCACACAACCACCGTTAGGGGCAGGGCAGCAGGCAGAGGGCCGCCCTGGCACAGCCGCACGCGTCGGTCCCCTCGGCCTGCGGCGGCTCCGAGGGCCGAGCGAGCTGCTCACATGAGGCCGTGACCCCCTGCCATCCCGCACCCGCTGTGCCCGCTCCCGCGTGTCCCTGCTAATGCTTCGACCCTGAGCAAGCYACCTTAGGGATGGAAAATTCCACACATGGCCACCTCGACCCAAACAAGCAAACTCATACCACATCCCCATGCCAAGAAGAAGCAACAAGTTTCTGCTAGTTCAGCTGCCCAAGGGTCACAGAAAGGCAGACGTTGCAGTAAAGGGAGGAGTGGGAACAAGGAATAGTGGGCGAGAGGCCTTTTGGTGGCAGCTGTAACATCAGAACAAACTCTGGGAACCAAAGCTAAAGGCACCACAAGACAAATCCACTAGGAAAAATAATCAGGCTGTATTCATTCTGGACTGCATGAAACCTAGTTTCAAAACATAATATGCAACTTAAACAAAAGCACAGAAATAAATTATCATTAAGTTAGCAAGTCTGCACCACAGAACAGGAAGAAAACCTGTTGCTGTAGCAGCATATAAGTAATCGCAAAGGGAACAGTGTCAGAAACATCAAATTTTACCTCAAATATTTCCACAAAATTATAAAGAGGAACGTAGTTCATTCTAAAAAGCACACACTAGACTAAGTGAAAAACAAGCAGCTAAAGGACAGTCTACAATGAACTTCAAGTTACATAGTTTGTACAAGAGTACAGGTTTTTCTGTAACAGACAGACCACGGGGCCCCGACAGCTACGATTTAGCAGCACTGTCTGTAGAGAACCCACACTCTGCTTCAGTTCTTTGGTCTGTTCTCCACAGCTTGCATCATGYACCTTTGATCTTTCTCTACAGCTTGCATCATGTACTTTTCCAGACCTCTTCTCTCCAATCCTGACACTGATTTGGTCCAAATTCTTCAAAGAATAACTTAAAAAATTATAAAAGCTTTGAAGTAACACCTGACAATCCTAAACAAACCACAAATGTGGTTTACAAATCTGCACCTGCACRAATTCTGTCTACTCACATTCAGGAATACTCCTATTCCTTAACTCAAGTTCACTTTGCAGAGCATAACTGCATTAGAGACTCCATTTTACTCAGCCAGCTACAGCGTTTACTTTGAGTTCGGGCGGTGGCACGCAAGGTCAGTTCACATACACATAACTTAATAAAAAGTTAAGCTATAGTTTTAAAAAAGCTGTAAGTTACTTAACAACTGTTATTCATAACGAGCAATCATTTTGTTAGAATTCTGTCACAGTTAGTCACGCTCACCTCTTTATCCATACTCTCTAAATCCTCTTTACATAGGGTGTACAGGGGCATAGTCTCAGACATACTTGGCTGGCGTTTCCGCTTAGACGGGCCTGGCTGCTCTTCGTTCTCATTTGCTGGTAACTCTTCTTCTTCTTCAAACATCTGCTGCTGATGTGGTTGAACAACTCTGAAAAATTTCAGGGGTCCCGCATAAGAAAAAATTACTTCTTTTACAGTTTGTCTAGAAAACAAACTCTACACACAGCTTATGACAGCTGAATACACTTTTCCTTAATACTGTTACAGTCTGTGTTTAGCAAACAACAGAGCAAAGATCAGGTCTCCCAATGCCTGCTTTTATTTCACGTCTGATGCCTTATATTTTTATTCTGCCTTTGGCTGGGTACTCACTCTCCTGACTTCCCATTATTCTTGCAAGTAACTATCAAATCTTTTTTGAAGTCAAGAGCTTCAGCAGCKGCAGATGTGCTTCTCCCACAATACTTCAAAAGTTGGTGCCCAAATGGAGTTTGTCACTTGACAAGTTCAGCATTTATGACAATTCTTGTATTCTAATCAATGTTTCTTGACCGATGTGATACTCGTGTTCCTTAGATTCACAATCTCCCTCTCTCCCCAACTCTTAACTTCAGACAATAGAAGATTTTTCAGCAGGCCTAGAAAACTCATTTCAACAATCTCAATCTTCAGTCTCTTCCTAGATGCTAAGCCTGGAAGAGAGATGTGAAGAGACCCCTAACTGGCTACTGTATTCAGATATGGTACTTTTTTAAAAAAAACCTTAATCTTATTACCTCATTAATTACTGTATTTAAGCAGAACATGTAGATACAAAAAAGCAATGGCAAAATACTAACTGGAAAGGATTAGATAACAACAACTTCCAGGGAACTGCTGGAAAACAGTAATGAAAAGAGTGACAATATCTAAAACTGCATCAGGAAACTTATTATTCCTGGGTAACATTTCCACCGTGAAATACTTCTAATATCCTATTTGAAGAGCTCAAGGGTTAAGTCAGAATTGCTCTGCAGYAGAGCTAACCATGCCCACCCAAAGCACCGCCGCCACGTGGGATACGTTACGCAGCTCAGCACCACCCAGGGCCTGTAAATAACCCTGGGGTACAGAAGGCACTTTTATCGTGGTAGCCATGAGGGTGTRCGTGGGGTGTCATCACCAACAGTGACCCAAGTCACTGTTTCAAGCTGTAACCACGAGGTGAGAGCCACCACGAAGCCAGGCCGTTCTGGACAGCGGTGGAGATGCAGCAGGGGCCAGCGAGGTCTCAGCTGCAAGAGCTTCAGAGCAGCACAGCCCCTTCCCACCAAGCGTGGGCATCCCCAGCAGCAGCTTCCAGGGAAAGTCCTTTCTCTCCCATCCACCTAATATCAACCACCTACTTCAGATTCTTTAAGAACATGCAAGCCCAGTCACATGCAAGTTCTTAGTAAATTGTTACTCCTACTGCAAACTGAAAAGCTTCTTGAGAAGGCCATCTAGACACCAYTTTTTCCTACATCTGTTTTTAAATACGTAATTTGCAAGCCACATTAAGTTGTCAATTGGCCTTTCTTGAGGAATCCTATTTCGTGAACATACATCCACACTCTCAGATCCCATATATACATCTAAGAGACAGGAATTCATTTTTCAAATGGAGGGCGAGGAAAGAGGGGGAACTCACATTAGCGGAAAAAAATAAAGTCATGCTATATGCAATGGAAGATATACCTGTCAGCTCACCAATAYTTTGCAGTGTAGCAGAAACAGTGCACTTTTATCATTTCTGTGTGCTAGGACTTTCTATGGAGCCAAAAAACAAATTAAATGTAGTAAAAATAAATTAACCAAACTTATTTTTCCATTATATAATTACGTATTATTTCTTTTAAATCACAACCTTTTTTCCCCCTTTCATTCAAATGCTTTTCCATTTCACAGTTTTAAAATTCTTTTTCTGCTACATCACTTGCTGACAATAATTTTCACACTTACAAGAGGAAAAATTACAGTATTACACTGTATTTTCTATAGGCATCTTTAATTACTCTATTTTCATGACTTGTCAATATCCTAGCCAAGAGACAGTGATTTAAATTTAGTAAAACACAGAATGATAACACACAAGGTAAAAGGATCTTACACTACTGCATAAAAAAATGACAAGTTTGACCAYGTCAAGAATTTTACACCTACATTATATATAGCAGGAAGCTAAGTAGATTTTTAGACGAAAATGTGTATTTTTTTAAAAAACATATCATACTGATGACAGTGAGAACTTTTTACAGTTTCTGTGAAGTTGTATTTATACTCTTATTTTGAATACTGCAGGAAGAGTAATTTAAGTTTTCATTTAAGTTATAGCAAAGGCAGGGATTATTTTCCATCATAATCAAACGCAAACTGCATCGACAGTTTAATTCCAACACTRTTGAATAGCGGGCACAGCTGTGAAGTTCTGCATTCTGAAGCAGTGACCTGAGGMAATTCAAGTTAAGCTGAAGACTCCACCAGCAGTAAAAGTTAAGTTTAGATGGAGAGGTGTCCTTGTTGCACACACTGCTTCTATGATTATAGAGACAYACATGCTTTATTAAAAATAACTGTATTTGTATACTTAAGACTATCGGCAGATTTTCCCCCAGTATTTTCCAACTACTACTGGTTTAGAAGTATTGGGACTCCTCGAAGAATACCGAAGTAACAGAAAAATAAAAACCAAAGACTCCTGTGATGTTTGTTAGCCAACATTTTTATTTTACCAGAGAGGTGTTTCGAACTGCTCGTTACACCGATGGCAGCGTAAAGGACACGCGAGGCGGCCGTCGAGCGGCCCTGCCGGGCGGCAGAGCCTCCTGGGGCCCTTTCGGGYGCTCACGGGTGACCTGTGCAGTTTGGGGGCACTCGCCAGCCCCACGCGTGCCTGCCTTTTCAGGGGACCGGATCCACCCGGGCTGGGGATGAAGGCTGGGAGCGCCGGGCATGCTGCTTGCTCTGCCACAGGGCAAGGGCGACAACTGCACTAGCTTTGCCACCATGGGAGGCTGAGGAGCATCTGGAGGTCCAGCAAGCACTTGGGACTGGTACTTTGGGGTTTTTGTAGTCAAATTTGAAAATGTTAAGCAGAAAGTGTWATACTGAGCATGTAAATTAAGATTTGGAATTATACAAGTGACATTCATTAGCAAGAATCTCAAAGAATTTTCAGACACCAGTATCTTGAGCCGCCTGTTGCAACTACTGATGCCTCTCGATATTATCTACTGATTCCTCTCAATATTATCTAAAGCCAGAATGCTTCTTTTAGCTTCTTACATGTACATTATAACCATTTGCTCAACTTTGCCTCATGTCTTATTGAATGAATAGCATTCACTAAAACTGAACCTGCAAAACCATTTTGCCTTTATTCTTTTACAAGACACTATTTGCGTGGCTTCTCCTGGACAACGCTCAAATACTGCATTTCATGAACTATCACCCATTTAGACTGTAATTCCCAAACCAAAAGCAACCATTCCTAGAAGCCTCAYGGGTTCAAGTACAAGATCAAAACCTGGTCACAAAAAGCTGACCAAAACAGAACCATCTGCAATTTACTGGTGATAGTTCAGCTTCAAACCGTGTGTAGATACTTCAGTTCTATCATTTGCTAAATTAGTTGCTCTCCTGAAGYCATCTTCAAAGCAAAAAACACTGAACCCAACGTGAAATGAAACCCAACATGAATGGAGAACTGACACAGACTTTTATTCTACTCAAAATATGAAGCTCTTTTCAGCAACGCATCTCGTGGCAGCTTATGCTCTAAGCACAAGAAGGTCTGCTCTTACAGCAAGTCCCAACATCATTGCTACTATTTCTTCAGTGGTTTCTTCCCATGGTAGTGCAAGTTTGTTGATYGTTGTCTGAAATGTAGATAAAGGGTTTTTGCTTGTTTGTTTTAGAAATTAACACATCACTGCATGCTTTCGCCAGAAAAAGAACATTTTGACTAGTCATCCACAAGAGCAATTGGAGATATTATTGTAATCTTGTTTAATAAGGTATACTATAAAGATTTGAGATAGTTATTTTAAAATACCTACAACATTTGCAGACAGGCTTTTGTCAAAAAAAGTGCCCATAATGAAAGAYAGAAAAARAAAATTCTTTTAAATAAAATAAAGGAGATTCTATCTACATTGCTTTGGATTTTAATATGGCAGTATTCATTTTGCATCCAAAAGGACTTGGCACACTGAAAWGCTGAAACTTTGGTTAATTTGTATATAACAAGTGCTGGCTAAAGCTTTCACCCCTCTCCCCTGCCCTATATGAAGGGCTTGGCAGCTGCGAGTGTCAACTGCTGTATCCACCAGTGCCAAAATCCAATGACTTTGTCACAGGTACTGCCACCTTTCTGCAGGAGGTGAACATACGTGCAGAAGGTCTTGCAGGCCACAAAATAAATGGCCTTCTGCCAAGAAATTGTTACATTAAGGTTATTCTTGAGTCGAGCACCATGTTAGGGTTAGAACTGCCTCAACTCACTCTCAGCCCATGCACAGAAATACTCTTTACATTCATTTCTTTGTTACTTCTTCAACAGCCCTCACGCTCTGCACTCTAACTATACAGTACAGAACTTAGAGCAGGTTTTGGTTGCTGCTTTCCTTATAGACTTCACCAATATTTTCTTCAAGACAGCAACCCAATTTAAAGACAGCTGGACTGCTCTGAGGACTATAAATATGCTTCAATTTAGCAAACAGTGTTTACAGGTCAGTCATTTTACCGCTTGAAACAAATAAATAGGCAAAGAGTAGAAAGATTATTACCCAATGTAAGAAAGGGAACCAATTTAAGACTTCTGTTTCATTATGTAGTGAAGCTGGAACATTTACTAATAAGATCCAATTTCTTAGATTAAATCATGTGATCCTGAACACTCACAGGCAAAAAAAAMCGCATAAGTTCAATAAAACTGAAGTGTGTGTGTCGGGGGGGGATACAGTCTCCCTCCACTCCCCAAATCTGCCTGGAACTTGGAGAAACTTAGAACTAAGGCGCCAGCTAAARAATATTTTTCCACTTTTCCACAAAAGGATTAAATGAAGAAGGATCTCTACATTAAAGAAAAATATATTTAGGTGACAACATAATTTTTCATCACTTTTTGACAGAAAAAGGGAAGAACAGGCATTGAAAACTGCACTTTCTGAAGTATGGAATGATGCAGGCATTGAAAACTATGCTTTCTAAAGTATTGAATGATGCATTCATATGAATGTGAACTATCTCAGTGAAGCCTTTTAGAAGAGTCAAATGACAATCACACATGCACAGTCTTCCCATCCCTCCCCATTTCTTGACAAATTCCCTTTCTTAAAAAAAAAAAAAGCCTGCGTCTTGGCTATTTAAAGTTTTTTTCCTGTTCATTTAAAATGTCATAGTAAAATACAGATTTTAGACAGTTAAAAAAAATGAAAAGAGAAAATATTAAAGAGATTGGAAGGGAAAAGAAAAAAGAGTAATGCTGAAATAAGAAAAAGCCTTTAAAAAGTCCAAGTAGATTGGAGTAACTGCAATAGCAAGATACAGAAGAAACACAGTAAGACAGACTATGCACACAAAACTTTTACAAGTGATAAAACTGACAGGGAACAAAGAGATAAAAGTAGAAAACTGTGTGCGTTTACAATTGTGCTTTGCAGTTTTCACRTTGCTTGGGAGATCGAAATGCTTTGTAATAGCTGCTACAGTCTAACTGAATTTTATTATGAAATAAGCTACAACAGGATGCTTACTTTTTTGTCATTGGAGTCTGCAAGATTTGCTAAAGCCTTCGCAATTCCTCAGAACTAGATCTGTTATATGGTGAATTCTGAATGCATGTTAGAGAGAGATTTCACGCACCCAGAAAGCAAACCTGCTCCTCTTGCTTTAGCGTCTTGATTTAGTGATCTAAGAATTACTAAGTAGTATTCAATTTTACATTATTTAATAGCTCTCAATTAGCTACATTTCTCTTCTCCCACTGCTTATACTCCTCAAAGTAAAACRCTGGAGTAATCTCCCATCTGAAAAAGTAATTAAAAGGAAAACTTTACAAACAAAACCAAACACTGCGAGATACATTTAAGAAAATAATATGTTGGATTTGGATTTAAGAAACATTAGCCTGCCTCACTTGGGGGTGAGTGTAAAYCACCAAAAGAGAAAACATAGCGTGCGGTCTGTTATGTGCTCTAGAATAACTCAGACCTGAACGGTGGCACAAAGAACCTAGAAGTTCAAGTCACTAATTTCACTAAACCTACMTACTCACTTTTAGTCATTTCCTTAGGCTGAATATTACAAATTTATTTTTATAAAGTAAATAGAAAAAAAAAATCTAAAGCCAAGATGACAACCTGACCAAATGCAAACCCAGCAGCAGTTCAATTTAAAGCACAACATCTGGAAACACCACTGAGGAGCTGCTTAGCTAGGCCTTACGCACCTGAAGGACGAGTGTTCGCCGTGGACGGGCAAGGTGAGGGGCGGAGCTGGGGACTGGATGTACAGGGAGTGCGCGGGCGGCGGCGAGCCCTTCCTGATCAGCTTGCCGGTGGTGGGGTCGTACAGGCGCACCTCGGGGCCCGGCTGCGACTTGGGATGGATGGGCGTCGGGTGAAACAGAGCCGTCGGGAAGGCGCTGTGAGCGTCAGGAAACGTGGCAGGGCTGTTCTCTCTGTCGGGTAAGGTTCGGAAAAAAAGGGATTTATAAAYTGAAACGCACTATCTTTAACGCACATGGCAGATGACTGGTATTTCTTTTCTCTACACGAAAAAGTAGGGAGGAAGAAAAAAGTAAAARATTTCTCTGGAAATCTTCCCATCTCTTCTTCCCCACCGTGAAAATATCATTGAATTTAAAACAGAAAAATGCAAATGTCATATTAACATCATTTAAAAAAATGATTAAAGACATCTTAAAATAGCCTTAAATATAAAGTTACTGAAGTTGCTTCTGGAGTATCAAATACACAGTTAATCATAGTTAGCATGATAATCTGCATATATGCTACTAGCACAAAAGCATGCCTTTGTTGAGGATCTTAGCTCTTCAGCACAACTCAGAAAATTATTACATGGTATTAATCAGGAAGTCATCCAGTTCAATTGTTAGCATACCAAATCATTTTAAAGCACAGCTTTAGAAGTGCCAATAAAAATACTGAGACATCAGTCTGCACAAGTCACCAATATGACATACTATGCACTTTAGATAAAGGACCACAAAAAGAAAAAGAGAAATAAAATCATAAAAACTGAAGTTTTTCATATATGCTTTCAAGGACTACCCTTCTCAAACAGTATTGCTAAAGAATCAACATTTACAGTCAACCAATTCAAAACTTCCTTAAACCCCMAAACTTAAAAATATAATCCTCAAAATACAAAGTGTTCTCAGGTCCTAAGTGAATGCCATTTATTCCCAATTTTTAGGGACGCTGGGTGTCTGTCTACTCCCCCATTCAATCAGCAATCTCATTTTCAGGTGTTTCTACTTTTGGTGCACTTGTGTTTCATTTTGCTCTCCAAGGGACAGCAYCTTGCAGGCAGAAAGCAAATCTTTAGCTAACGTCTAGCTTATTCAGTCCCTCAGTAACCAACATATTAATTACTTAAATGCAGAAAACCCAGCATACTRCATACCTCCCTGTTCAAACCTAGGAGTAAACAGCCTCTGCTAGGCTTGCAGAGTGCTTTATGCARATCTACTAAAACAAGTCAAGAAGTAAAAGCTGAAACTACACTATCTTGTMATGAGTTTTTAGCCATTGCCCTTCCTAGAGCAGACTGCTCTTAGCAGCCTTYGACTTTCTTTTTGTTCATGTCATTCTTGACTCTCATTTTTATGTGCTGTCCTCCTATTGTCATCATTTTTCACCCTTTTTCTTTAAACTCTCTATCTTAGCACCCTAAAACCTCTATGTGCTCTCTTACTATTCTTTCTGTCCCCATAACTTGCTTCCAGATTTTGCTCCTCTTCCACCCCACTTTGTTTTTGCTTCTCTAGGTTTCTCCAACTGCCTCACTGTAGGACTCAAAAAATCCTACAGACTTCAGCTGTGCAAGGGTATCTGTATCTTCCCGCTCAGCCTCACTTGGCAGAAGGGATGATGCTCCTGCCCCTTGGGAGCATTCCTTGTGCATTACCTGGGGCGGTGAGGTGGGCCACTTCTGATGAGTACTGCTAACAAACTCAGCTGCCTAGGAAACCGAACCCTGCTCGCTGCTGAGCTGCCTCTCAGCTCCTTGGCCGTGTTCAGTTTACGTTGCACAGGAAAAGATAAAAACAGAGGGGCTCTTTCATAAAGATCTGCAAACATCACAGAATTCTTGTCTTGTTGGTTACTTTGATTTTCCAGCTGCAATAACAAGGTATTTGATTGTTATATCCTCCATTCCTCTAAGTCCCCATTTACCTGTGTGTTTTGTTGTAGTCATCCTTCAAGGGAAAAAGCTGTTCCTCAACCTTGTCCCACCGCTCCAAGCAGCTCCACAGCCAGTCAGGATTTACAACATGGAGGTCTTTGCAGTCCTGAGCTTGTCTTACTTTTTCTGTGCCTATTATGAAGCCAAGCACAACATTACAGCGTTCCCAGACACAGAAAAGGCAGTTTTAGGTGCACATCAGTTTTGTGATGAATCTTAGAGAGACGAAGACCSCTCCCACCAACACACCCAATGAGACAAACCCAGCTGATAAAGAGTGAGACATTACATGGCATGTCAAGTCCTCGGTCTCAAGCTGGGTGAAGGTATTTACTGTTAGTACCAGAAGGAATTCTGCTGAAATCAATTCCAGCAGAAAGCCTCTATGTTTTCCTGCTAGCTAAACAAACAGCAGTACAATTTGTTTTTTTCTTATTGCATCTTCATTTAGATTCATTTGGCTCTAATAAGCAGCAGCTCCTCCCTGCTAGTGCTTCCCATACCAACTCACCATACAATGGCTCCTACGTGCGTGCACGGGAGCTGCTGCCCRCAGGCGACACTACCACACAGCAGCCAGTTCTCCCGCCGCTCCAACTCGGAGCAGACATGGGATCACTCAGTGCCAAGGGGGAACAAGGACTGCTCTGTTCGGCAGCACACAGCCGCAGCAGGCTGGTGTGAAGGGCACATGGAACCATCGGCAGAGCGATGAGGCAGCAACGGGGGGATCTCAAATCTGCCTTCTGGAAGCAGCCAGCAGAGAGCAAACGCTGCTCGGGCAAGGGCGGCGAGCGAAAGCAGCCCACGGCAGGGGCAGCTCATCTCACAGTGCTGCTGCTTCCCAGGAACAACCCACTGTCCAAGTACTGCTAYAGAAGTGTTCGCACAGTACTGTGCCTATATGACACAGTGTATGTGCARCATAAACCTACCTATAGTGTTTACATTGTATCACAAAAAAAWACCTGAAATCAGTTATGGTATTTATTTCAGCACTGACTGAAGAGAAACAGCAGAGGGGCTTAATGGTAGGAGACAAAACTACATAATGTCAGTGAAGCACTAGCGGATAAAAGCAAAAGGGGAAAGTATATGAATATGTATGAATTGATGACCTCCTGGCAGAAGGCCATTCCACTTCCTTTGCTTCCTTTTTGTTTCGTCCCTATCATTAAYGCTCAAGAAAAAACAAAACACTGCAGCTTAAAACACTCAGCAAGAACCACCCCTTGTTGACATTGCGTCTTTGTGGAATGGCATTTAAATACACCTAACACTGCAAAACATCTGTTTAGAAATGAGGAACAAAAGGAGACTTTTGGGACCTGAAGGCACAACTTGCTTTAATACCTTTGTGTTTCCCCAAGTTAAAAATTTTGCTCTGTGATCTGGAAGCAAAGAATGTTTCACATGGTACCACTCAAGGAGGGCCCACCAGCACTATACAGCAACCCTGGGCTTTCCTGCTCCAGATACTCACATAAAACCACAACTTAACAGCCCAACAGTCCAGACTACCTTAACCTACTTGCCTAGGAAATCAGTTGAATATTTTTAAAATATTAAAGTTTACTCTATTTTAATTAATATTAAAACATTCAATATTAATTTGGTTATTAGAATTTATCATTTAAAGCTACAACTTTTTGAATCTTTAGTCTATTCTTGTGCCTTCAAGAATGAAGTCTCAATAGAAAAAAACCAAAAACCAGAATGATTCTGACAAGGAAGCAGACACAGTAATTTATGTCACAYATTTAAACTCAAGAGGACAGCAATTAATTCGATGGTTTCAACAACATTCCCTGGAGTTTAATCTGCAAGGCTGCCATTTAACAACACAACAACTTTTTTTTTTTAAATCAAAAATTAAAGGTCTTGACTTTCTGTATTTCTGCACATTAGAAGCACCGGTTAGCAGCCCTATTTACCCCCTACATGAAGCCTGGCCCTGGAGCTGCTGGGGGACAGGAATAAGCTGCAGTTCCTGGGGGATGAAGCTCCCTGCTTACATGGGAGCAGCTGCAGCACATGAAGCAGAGGGAAGGGGACCCCCCTCCTCCGCAAGGCCATGGGAGCTCCCGTTTCCCTGCTTGGCTTCCTCAATACAGGCCCCTGTCCCACAGCAATAGGCTACTTGCTTTCCCTGTGCAAGCAGGTTCTTTCTAAATCTCAGTCCATGAGAGAACATTTCTTAAAGATCTGCTGGGCATCTCACACTCATTCCACATTCAGCAGTAAAATCAATCTATTTTGCAGTTAAGGTGCTAAGAGTTAAAGCTTAAAACCTCTCTCCATGCAAATATATTTGTAAATAACAACAGCTGTTAAATTAGGAATAGAATCTAATGAAGAATAATTGAGTCCTTAAAAGTGAAGCTCTAAGCCACAAACAACTTACAAAGGCTGCATTTTAAGCTCTGTTGTGAAGAATACAAACACTGCCRAACAAAAACTCATTGGAAAAATTAACCTTACAACTGCAGTAATGTTAATGCCAGCACATATRTGCTGCTCAGGAGGTTATAACTGGCAAAAAAGCAGAAGTCTCGCAGACACCTCTGGAAGGTCAGCACACCCAGACTGTTCATTCCCTTTCATTCAAGAAATCTCTGTTTTCTAATTAATCTTCAGTTACAGAAACAATTAGTAACTTGGAGCACYTTCATGAAACATCACCTATGCTGTCAGAGGCTGCTTCCATAGAAAGCTTTTACTTTTTTTTTTTTTATTTTTTAGGTAAGTTTATTAGGAATTGTGGAAATGCCTGATATTAGCAACAGTTTGGTGCAAAGTTCTATTTAATTCACATATGAGAAGTTCCTGGAGAAAACGGGGGAAGAAAGGAGAATCACATTAAGAGAATTGGGGGGGAAAAAAAGATTAAAGAGAATTTAAAAATATTTGGATGAAAGGTAAAAAAGAAGAAATGATAATATGAACGAAGAAATGAGACAATAGCCATTTTGCAAAGGGTGTTGAGAGCAGGTTTGTAAGCACRAAAGTTTTAGGAAAAAAAGCAACAAAACAAAGAAATCCAATATGAAGTTAGACACTCACACCTGTGCTAGTAGTAGATGCCAAATAAAACATCAGTCACAACTAGCAACAGCATCCTGAAAATGAAAAGACACCTGGAGCGGACCGGAACACCGTGTCCAACGGACACAAGAAGGCTCTCRCAACCACCCAGAGAGCTTAACCTTTATTTGCTTCGTGCAGGCAGGCTCTGTTCTGAAAGCCTGAAGAGTCATCCCATTTCTTGCTACATCTGTTTAGTAAAAACATGTAGTTTGACCAACTAAAGACATCCCTGCTCCTTTTGAGCTGCACTGTGAGGAACCTGAACGGGAACTAGGAAAGCAGACCCTTAGATCTTACTAAGTCTGTGCAGTAGTCCAGCCATTTTTAAGACAGAAGTTATTAATCTATCCAAATAAAAATACTGCTAATGCAGCAAAGAACGGAAGCATCCAGATGGCTGTAAAAACTAGAGAAATTCTGTTTTTCTAAAACTATTYGTTTGCAGCACTGTCTTCCAATCACCTTTCTCTCTTGTCAAATTTTAGGCTAAAATTCTTCCACAAAGTTAAAAAAGGCACACGTGCTTTTTATAGGAAGAAGCTAAGCTCTAAGGTCCTTTAGGTCCTCTAGGGTCCTAAGGACCCCCTCAGAGGACAGGTCTAATTCCTGTCCTCTGCGCAGGTACAACTAAGAGTTCATAGTATTACCATTAGTTTCAATATTTACAATCAGTAAAAGAGGAGACAATTTAGCCCTTTTTTTCCTAAAATCTAGTCCCTCTCTATAAGGAACACAGCACCTGAAGCTGTTAGCTTGCAAAGTTCCYTGGAGCTAATGGCAAGTTCTGTGCAGCCAAACAACCATCTCACATAGATTATTTTATGATCACACATGCAGATTTTATAACACATGYGCAAAACAAACAAGCAAAACCTTTTTGATTCTTAGGGAAAATGTAACATGGTATTAACTGCGGCATAAGAAACCCCTCCAAACTATTGACTGTGCCCAGACACACAAAGCCTGAGACCATGACCATTCTCCCTCATAAAGAAAAAATAAATAACACCCAAGCCAACACAAACTGATCAACCAACACCACATCCCATGAGCAAACACAGACAGAAGCCACCACAGAAAAGGCTGAGGTCGGGCTCACCAACTCTGCTACTGAACACAACTGCTTTCTGCAGCTCTTCCTCAGGTCGCACAGTTTCACTGCAGCAGGTGGTCTCAGCCACAGCACCAAGTACGCGAGGCACTTAAGCAACCTAGTTAAACGGGGCCTAAACTTTATGGGTAAGAGGAYTAAGGAGCGGTGCTGTGACACCTCGTTCACATGAGCGCACGGCACAGCCCAGCGGCGGGAGCTGCCGGACAGGGCGGCAGAGGATTGATGCCCACATCCCGAGCCTCCCGGGCAGCCTGGCTGGCGGTCCTGTGAGCTGAACACCCAAGCACGCTCAGCACAGAGACCCTCCAAAAAGGAGGCCAGCTTGCAGCCTTGAGGTGACACCACGATGACCCCAAACGTCAACAGAAGCAACCAAAAGATTCATTGCAAAAGTAGCCTCCCTGTTCCAATGGATCAGAATCAACCTATCTTTACAGCAACGTCAACTAGCTCCTAGGTATTTTTTGGAAAAGCTCATTTCCAGAAGTTTGTTGCTCCTCATACCTTTTTTTAAACAAGTCTTCCTGCTTTACGGTCAAATCCTGAAGTTCCGCTTCAGCAGCATTAAGCTAAGAAAAACCCCTATAGACTTYAGTGTTTCCTCCTACAAGAGTTAGGTGAACTGTCCCCAATCACTTCAAGTCCTAAATCCTCCTCTATCTGACTTGACATCGATTTCTTCCTTTCGTTATTTCATCTGGTATACTCTGCCCTCTTCCCCAAAGGAAACAGCATTTACCCCTCCACCTGCTGCAGTTTTAAGAGTCTGTAGTTCACTACAGGCCAACTAATGCACAGTCAGCATCTAAAAGAGCTTGTGGGTGGGAGCCCTAGCTCTGCTGTGGTTAGTGCTGCCACCTGGATACCTTGTCACAGCTGGAGGGTGGGAGGGACAGGACGGAACAACATGGTGCAGCCCTCCCACAGGAGCCAAGTCAACAGCCTCCAAATAAATTTAAGATATTCCCTGCTTTTCTCCCTTTCACCAGCAACTGGACATACTTCACATACTTCAGCTGATTTCCACCGGGGCCAGAGATGTGACACTTCATGGTTTACCTGCACTCAAACACCTGCAGAAGTCACCTGCTGCCTGACACGAGAGAACAACCACRCTGACAGCTTGATCATTCTACCAGCTGCTGTCACAGCACCCAAGTTGCACCCTTGAAAATCTTTGATCAAAGGGCTGTGTTGCCTTCCTGAAGCGAGGAGACACACCACCACYACCACCACACGAGAGCGGGGAGAAGGAAAGCTTCAGTTGCACCAGCCTCCCCCACCAAAACCAAACCCACACCACAAGTGGCCCACCAGCACCTTTCAAAAGCAGCAAGGGAAGCACATATGTATTAGGACTCTAGACTACTCCATTGCCACTATTACAAAAGAAAAGAGTTACTTAGTAGTGATAAAAGGACCAGAGTCTTGCTCTTCAGGCTGAAAACGTGGCCAATTAAGGGAGTGCTTTTGGAAGAGGCCAGGGCGGTTCTTCCTTTCGGCTTCCCAACRCGGCCAGGAAAGGTCTGTCCCCCGGAAGCACAGGGGTTCCATTCTGCTCCTTTCCACTCGGGATCTCTAGCTTTAAGTGGTTGTCCACATTCAAACAGATTTTCCAATATCAAGTGCAATACCCGAATTATTTAACTCGGAGATTCCAGGTCTTGGAAAAAAGTCAACAAAAAGGCATCCATCCTCTAATTTTTAATGGTGATATATGTACCAAAAATACGCAAAGTATTAATAAATTTATATATTATAAAAGTATAATATAATTAAAGCCTAAAGTTAATCTATTGTCCATATTAATATATCTTAAAACAGTGGGCGATTCATTGAGGATGGGCAGGCAGTGAAGAATTTGCTTAAAAAGTAGAACATAGAATTTATACATTTATACGCACACGCGCGCCCACAATAAAATTGTACAGCCCAGGAACAAGCAACTGCTTCTCACTGTTGCATACTATATAACTTATCCTAATTTTGAGTAACTTCTCCTTGAGAAGTGGATATGTGTGTGTGGAGGAAGAATTACATTTACGCTTACAGTTTTACTACACAATGGAAGAGATGCATCCCACGTACATCGACATTAAAGAACCATATGGTGCAAGACAGACTGTGAAAAGCCAGGAAATTTAATCTGCTGGGCACTTAAAACTAAGAGATTGCTTTTGTCTTCCCACTATAGCCATATCCTTCTTTCTGTGCTRTAAGAAAAGGCAAGCTATCACGAAACAAATCTCATTCACAAGGTTGGAATCGCTGCATTTCCTGYTGAAAGATCAACTAGACGAATACTTGGAGGCAAAGCAGCTCTGAAATGAAGCATTTTAGGATCTAAAACTTCAAAGACTGAAGAGCTGCACAGAAGTCATACTGATAACCACCACATCCAGTTACGTATGACAAACAGAAATCTTGGATGATAAAATTGGTATTATTGCAGTTCTGAAAGAAAGAGCTATTCAGTAACTTCACAAGAGTGTGAGTGTACAAAACAGATACCTCTACTACCCTGAACACTTCACATTTGCTATTTCAACTATCACACCTTCCCACATAAGAATCCAAACGATTTTCTGTGAAGCTTATCCCAATTTCATCTGAATTTAGATGATGCTTTACTACCAACAGCATATTATCAACAGCCAAAGAATTGATAAGAATTTTAGTTCACTGTAGGTTGGTCAGTACTGCTTTTATTGCGCTACGATTTGGCTAGATCAGTGTTGCAGTGCCTTCTTGCTACAGCAGGCAATGAAGGGCTCCGTGCACCTTTCATCACTAAGACTGTCCACTGAGATGACTGTAAGGAGAGCTGAGTTTACACTAGTCTAGCACAGATGTCTAGCACAGATGCAGCCTTACTGCTATTTTGGCACAACAAAAACTGGTAAACTGACAGGTTTTAATCCACCAAGTGACACAAGTAACCTTAACACTACTCAGAACGATAGGTGTGGAAATAAGGAATGGCAACTATCCATTACAATGGTACACTCCTAACCATTACAGCTACCCAAAAATTTCTGTGAAATATGCAACATGTAAGAGTGCAGCTAAGCTCTCTGACATCTACCATGGCACAACACCCAYCAGGTGCCCTGCACACAAAACAGTCACGGGCAACACCATCGAATTCTAGCCTTCYGAAATAATTTCTTTGTATTCCATACAAAGTAAAACTGAAGAACTGCAGGTAAATATCCGTGAAAGCAGGAAGGGATAAGTTACTATAGCTTTATAGCAAGACCAGCATAAATTTGTCTGTGTTACAAACATTGAAGTTTCGATTCTCAAACACTTATTATCACCAGCTCTTTAACCAAGAAGTGAGAGATGCTGGACTACAACAGTTTAGTGGGTCCTACTTTTAACAATTAAAAAACATCCTTGATACAAAAAGGGGTAGAAAACCCTTTAAATAAAAAAAAAAATAAACCAGCTTCTCATTGGCTTTTAGGACAATCTCCCCTCTAATTTAAATTCCACCTCAGTTACATTAAGGCTTGTCGCTTATAAAATACAACTAAACAAAAAGCCGCACAGCTCAAGGCAAGAATAAACCGTAACCGGGGAAAATAAGTTGCTTGCAAAACTTAAGACTCATATAYCTACCTGTCCTTGCTGCAATGAGATGGGTTGCTTTGTCAGGGTCATCAGCACCTAGTGCTAGGTTCTTCACTATTTTAGCTCCAAGGGCTGTTGCATGGTAGTGTTCCCGTGTTTTCTCRATGGGAAAATTTGTTGGGTAGAGTCCACTAAATATTATGGTTACATCGGCCAACACTTTACTTTTCAGTTCTGGCACTATTTTTCTGATGTCTGGAATCTCCTCAATCTCCTTTTTCAGGTATTTATCATACTTTGTATAATAATCAGTGTGAACCCGAACAAGGATTTCTTCGAGGTATATTAGATGGTCATCGTCATCTGTATCATCCTCATCCTCCTCTTCCTCCATACTCTGGTCTAAGGACTCGCCCATTGTAAATCCAGACTGCTCACTGATCTGGGACTCTGTTTCAGTTTCCTTCTTGTCTGTGCACCCGTTTCCTGAGTCACAGAGACTTTCCTGCTCACTCTCTTCTTGCGCTTCAAGATCAACAGGTTTGTCGTGGGCATTTTCACCGGGTAGAGATTTTGTGTCCTCAGAATGGTTCACCTGGCCATCCTTTTTCTCACTCGCATCAGTGCGACCGCCTTGCTGTAAATTTTCATCCTGCAGAGGTTGTTTTGATTTTTTCCAGCTTCTCTTTTCCTCATTGTCACTGTCCGATACAGAAGCGGATGACTTCCTGGCATCCGCTCCACCCTCACTTTCACTGTCACTAGACAGCTCAAAGTCCAAGTCATTTGTTACCTTGTCTTGGATTTGCTGCTTCTCCAAGACCGTCCTATTATCTGGTTCTGAAGAAATCTCCGATTCCTTCACACTTGTCAGCTCGTCAGCAACCGCGCTCTCTGTTTTGCCATCGCTGCTATCATTCAAGGAGCCCTCAGCATTAGCTCGAACGCTGGAATTCAAACCCCAGTCGGATGTTTCACTGCTTACAGCAGTACTACCATTTGTAGTGCAAGTGTCCTTGGCAGCTTTGAGGCCATTGCTTCGTTCTTCTATACATGTAACAYTCTTGATTTCTTCAGCATCTTTTGCTGATGTCACTGTTGAATCCATTGCCTCTGGCTTTGCTGAGTGGTTTACTAGAACACAAGAAGGTATGAAATAAAACACTCATTTTTAAAACTTATCATTTCTAACACTTATCAGAAATTGATTCCATTTCCCTTTCCACAAGGAAACGTGGACAGTCAAACTTCCCTATGCTTAAGAATGATGACTAGCATTTTCCAAGTTGTTAAGAAATTTTAAGTGTCTTTAACTATTGCTAGTACTAGAAAACCCTACATGGAAACAAACGTTCGCAGAGGGGCAGTGTAAGTAGCCTTATCACACAGGCCATAAGTAATTATTTGTCAACCTTGCATACTTCAAAAGATTTATCTGGCAGCACTACTTTGAGGACCAAATGTCAGGACAATTAAACTACTTTCCCAAAGGCTACAGTGAAAAAATGGGAGTGGGAAGGAAATCCTAAAACAAAGTTATCATTCCAGAAAGTCCCAATCCAGAGCATTAACTATAAAGAATGAATTTCTTCTGCTTTCCTGTACTGTCTGTTTTCCTAACTAAAATTATTGTTTAAAAATTGGAAAAATATATACATCGTAACACTAAAAAGATCCCGTTCAAGCTCTGTTGGAGATCCTGCTGAAAGGCAAGGAAAGTATAATGAACTGAAAGGAAGAACAGTAATTTTAAGTTATGTTTTCATCAAACGCCTGCAGATGAAGTGAGAGAATCCAAAGAAACATCCGAAGAGTCGACTTCAAACCTTCTTTGCCAGGAATACTGGGAAGAATGGCCACACTTTGGCCCTCTGCCTGTCCTGTGAGCAACACGAACAAGAGCGGAGAGCCCATGTCAGGGCAACCTGACTCTGCCTGAAAACACCGTAATCGTTACTGTGTTGGACATCTCTAATTCAACAACAAAGTGCCACCATATGCATTAAAAAAAAAAAAAAATTAAAGGCTAACCTGGAAAAAAAAATCTGCAATTATTTCTTAGGCACTGCCTTTCAAACCCATTTTTCCCCCAAATTAATACTAATGTAGTAGCGTATACGTTCTAAAATCCACTATTTCTATTTTCCTSTCAAACCTGCTGAACATAAGATTCTTTTGTGAAATGCTAGAACAGTACATTAGACATTAAAATCCCTAACAAATTTTATTAGCATGATTTAAGCAGGGAGGTAAGCAGAGCCAAAAGCTTCACTTCCAGCAGCACATGAAGAAAAGAATTTATGAACTATTACTCCAAAAGCTGGGAGGGAAGAAGAGAGAAGGAAGAAAGAAGAGAAAGCTGGTTTCCATACCACATACAAGAAATAAACTGCATTGTCAGAAGTACATGGGAAAAGAATTGTAAATAAAAAAGCTTATTCACATGTCCTCCTCAGCAAATTGTTGAGCAATTTGATGTATTTTTGTATCAGTCTCTAAGAGCAGAAATGCTTTTACCAGTATTGCACTCTTGCTGCTGCACCCCACGAGGAGAAGAGCTATGAATAATCCCCAGCCCAGTCTCACTGAACCACGTGTGCGTGCGCTGCAGCCTCGCATCACTCGCCTGCCCCAGCAGCACCACCAGCAAAACCTCCACCACGACTTATGTCAGTCACACCTGCCAAAGCAGACAGGGGCATAAAAAGCTTACAGATTAATTACCTTTCTTCTTCATTTGAATTTCCCTTGATCCAGGAGGTGCATTAATATCTCCTATCCCCTGGAAGTACACGTATTTCTTCACAGTTATCAAATTGGGTGCAAACTTCCAGACATCCTCTCTGTCATCAATGATGCAAACCATGGAGTCTCCACATGGGAAGAGATCTCTAAGAGAACAGATAATATGATTAATCTAGTTTTAGAACAGAACACTATACATAAATAGTTTTTATTGAGATTCTGCTGTACTGGATACATGTCTGCTGGACATACAGTTTATATATGAGTAACTTCTGAAAAAATCAGCAATGCTACTAAAGTTAAAATATAAAATTCAACAAAAATATAATATTCAACAAAAGTTGACAAGTTGACTTCTGACAAGTTAGAAGAACTTGTCTTCTAGAAAAACAAGCTTTAGTAAAYGCAGAATTTGACAATATTTCAGTCCAGTTTTCACATGATGTTTATCATGATTTGCACAGCACAGAAGCAACTATTGCATAGACAATATGCTATCCCTTATGTAAAAGTAGGAGAAATAAAACAGCAACAGTTTTTAGGGAATTGATTCCTTCAAGCCAAGCCAAAGCAAAGAATTATACGTATATGCAGAAATAGCTATATTTCTAGCAGGTGGAAGCACAGTACTCAAGACATATACATGCGCCTGAAAACATTAAGGCACAGCAAAAAGCTGCTTATTTGCTATAGCTAGATAGGAAACTTAATCATTTCTAATCTAGGATGATGAAATAATAAACAGGTCCCTAAAACAATCTTGGTTTTATCCTCTGAAAAAGAGGAGAACCTGTATCTAGACTAGAATATGAATTCAAGTTTCTAGATGACCCAATTTCAAGAACCACTGCAGAACAGAAGCTCAGAGACGTATAGTATTCTGGCTTTCAGATGTGCTAGATACTCAATTATGAAAACCTCGGCCAGAATTCTGGTTTAATTAAAACAAAAAAACCTTACATATACACATAAACACAACATAAAAACCATTATACAAGATCATAAGCTATAAGAAAGAAAAAGAAAAACTATAAACTACAAATTGCATCAAGACTCACTGCCCCAGCATCACAGAAAACATTAAGCAGATGAGTTGCTGTAATACCCAGCATCTCACTTTCACTAAGATAACGTGGTTCTTTAAGAATCAGGTAAGGGAGGACTATAAATATCTTAAAAATAGAGGGAGTCATTTCTATTTTATTGACTCTGCATGTGCAGGGGGGTTGGACCGGATGATCTCTACAGGTCCCTTCCAGCCTTAAGGATTCTATCATTCTACGACAGTATTCTACCTCTTATTTGCTCCCGTTTCATTTAAGATCCATATACGTACCTAAGATTCCCAGTTTTTGAAAATGGATCAATACATTCATCTCTTGACAATATCCGATGAGAAAAAAGCTTCTTTTCAGGATCCAAAAATCCTTTTGAAAGAAGAGAGTACAAAGTTAATGCTCAGGTCATTCGCCCCTTGTTCATTTTACATGTGAATACGCAATACAGCTGTTTTAAATCATGCAATAATAGTTTTGACAATTTCAAAATAAAGATATAATATGCGGTAAAAGGTAAGCACAGTGGACCAAATATTTTTAACTAATTCAATGGGATTAATACTAAAAAAAAGAATTTCCTTTCAACATAGCACTGATTTTGGAGTTAATTAAATCTGTGACATCCAGATGAATTAGGCCAAAGGAAAGAGATACAGCAGTTGATAGACATGATTTTTGCAGCTTGCATTTATATCCCTACAGGTGGTACTTTCAAACTAAATGCTCTGCTTAGCTCATCATGCCTAGGGACTGCAGGAAGTCTCACAAGAGTGGGCCGTGTGCTGCACTACGCAAGCACAACGGGCAAACGTTACGGGGCAGATTCAGCCGCAGCTCTTGCATTTGTAGGTTTTAAGTTTCACCTCTACCACTATTCAGTGCTTTTATAGCAGCAGGAATTTGTCTGACATTCTTCAAAAAAAGAAACAGGAGAAGCTGTGCTGGTCAATCTTGAAGCAGGATAAAATGCCATTATTTAGGGAAATGGTGGCTTGGGGGTATGCAGGCATGCACGCACATGCTTCTGAACCTCGTCTCAACATTGAGGTTTAACATCTTCAGCTACTTAAGTGCTTAGACAGACAGTGGCAGGGTACCTGCTCAGCTGATCTTTGTACTGAACTTGCTCTGAAGTTCACATCAGGATCTCACTACTCTCGTGAGCAGTATAATGCAGTCGGTACTTACTGGAGAACTTTTTTCCTTCTCTCAAGGTGGCCACATTATGGCCAGAACAAGAGTTCAAAATGACTGCACTGAGGACCTGCTTGGATTTTCTTTCAAGGACCTGTTGGCTTTTAAAAGAATGCTGGTTCAGCCCTTTCTAGAAGTCCAGCTCCCACTGGCATATTAAGTTGGGCCTTCAAAAACAGAAAACTTGATCCTCCGTGTATTAATATTCATGTGGTGTGGTTGGAATAACTTAAAACCCATAAAAGCAAGAAAATTCCGAGTTAAGGACAGAGGTTCAACCTTAACTCACCCGACTATGCTTAAGAATTGCTGCAAACTCGTGGAATCATCCCCTGTAGTGAGACCCTTGCAGTACCTAGGCATAACGAATTGAGAGAATTAGCTACAAAGGTTCATTGCCAGACACACAGATATTTTGACAAACTCTGTAAACTGTCACACAAGCTGCTGTTCTCGCCCACAAAATTCTCTGCTTTCTATCTGAATCCACAGAGACTTTCTATGCTAAACTGGACAGAAGTGTGTGGATTACAACACCGAGGCATTAAATCACGGTGCTGTCTAGGTCCATCTGTGAGGAAGAGGAAGTTGAAGCCAGTCCCAACACAGAGCCCTGATTGTTAAGGAGGAGAGACAAGATGCCCAACAAGGCTCTGGGAAGCACTGATAAATTTTAGCATCATTCCCCCCAAGTCTGGTAATTTGCTGAAGACTGAGCRCCCAGTTCATCAGAGCTGTATCCACACAGGGAAAACCCTGGGCTGCACTGATAGAGTCTTTCACAACATGAGTGGTAATATGCAGAACAGCCCTGCTCTTCACAAGAAGCTCTTTATGCCTCTTGGATTGTTTGCTTTTTCGGGAAGGTTGCCTAAGGAATAGAATCAATACAACAAACACAACCCAGATGGCAGACAGTGTTTCATTCACGATACACCAACAACCTTCTTGGGTAGCAGGTTAAGAGCTGCTTTGGCTCTTTGAGAGGGACCACGCGCTGGATTTTCACTACTCTGTGAGGTGGTAACAGAAGTAAGACCTCTCGTGGCTACAGCCCATCCTGCCACTAAAACCAACAACTTTTATTGGCAAGGATACACTGAAAATAAGGTTTAAAGTGTGATCATAGTGCACTGCTTAGCTATTAAAGCCATCATGAGACTACATGTAAAGTATCTTCCAAAGAAAATATTGGTGGCTTTTTCCAAAACGTTTRCATAGCTGGTGTCATTTTTGTGGGGCCGTTTTGGTGTAAGTTTCTATAATTTGGGGGGAGGGTGGGGGGCAGATATTATCGATAGCTTCATCAAGTATCAGAAATAGTGAAAAAGTTCTGTGTTTTCCAGAGATGTGCTCTTCATCCCCAAGTATTTACCCCAATTCGCGCCCCTCACCTGGCTAACAACATATCCTGAAAACATTATTATGGTCACAATCTGTTGCGTTAGCACGGATTGTCAATTTTCTTAACAGAATTTGCTACTGCAGAGGTATCACTCCTTGGAAGCCATTCCCAGAGAAGAGGGCTGATGAATTTCTCATTATATAAACTTGTTAAAATCAAACAAATAACTTTAAAGCTTTTTGCAATAGTCAAAACACACAAAGACAAGTACTTGCTGTATCGAATTAAGACTAAGCTTCAATTTATTCTCCAAAATTAGACACAACAGTGCTAAGTGTATTTTTAATKAAGTTCTGGTCCCTTCTTTAAAACAGGCCCATAATAACTTATTATCCTTCCACCACCACATTACTAGGGACTCTAGTGCAGAGTCACTGAGCAAAGGCTGTTCCTCCCCACAGCCCCCAGACATTCGGCCTTCAAAAGCCCCAGCCTCAGTAAACTTGCCTCAAACACATTAAACAAGCTATTGACTTAGCACCACAGTGGGGGACAGGAGAGGTAAGGCTGAAATTGGCTTCTGAGTATGTGTCTCTTACCCGTGCAACTCCAAGTGCTGGTTAGTTAACACATTTCACCCTGCATTGCTCTGAACACAGACATGCACACACTCACATACTAGGTCACTATTAGAGAGAGCTGAAAGAGCAAAAAGGGCCATAAAGGAGACAAATCACAGTAATTTATCCTCGTTACTCCGGACAACACTGGGTAACCATAAAGAGAGAAGAGCTCAGCATCTTCCTCAATCTCTAAAGCTTGTTCGTTTCTAATTTTAATGGYCTCTATACTGTAATTTATGAAGTGACCAGTGAACAAAGTCATCCTTTCCAGTAGCCAGAATCTCTTAAAAGCCCAGTGACTGTATCAGGTAGTGACACCATGCCATCAAAAGTGACAGAATAGCACTCACACCACACACATCACAACATAACTGCATAAAAACAAATACACAGATGTTACATAAGCCACGTTACAAAGAATTACATAGGGCCTGTCTTACAAACAAGGTCCTGCAAAAGACACTACACCCTTTATCACACTACACAAACATACAACTTTCTGGTGCCATCTTTCTACATTTAAAGTTAGTTTGCATTCCTCTTGGATTAAATGCATGCCAACATAAGAAGGGTTTAAACCCTTGGCTAGTTTTGTAACAGCTTCTACCTTACATAGCTCAGGATAGTGCACACTCCACCTTGTCCTGAAACTGAGCATTTCTGTTCATATATATGTATTGTTTTAAAAACAAGGATTTGATTTCTGCATATTCTGGCCTGCTGTTAACTGCCTTTGTGAAAAAGTCAGTGCATTCCAATTCTGCCAATATGGTATTTTGTTTCCAGCACCTCAGATAGGGACTTTACACAGGCACTCTTATAATATTGTTACTTGGTTATGTACAAAGTCTCTTAGAAAAGCAAGCCTGTAAATCACAAGTCAGCAAAAAGCAAGGCTATTTCATAATATTCATAATGCAACTCGTACTTGGGAAGGCTCAACCCTAAAGACAGATGGAACTAAACAGCAATTTCTAGCAAAATCAATGTAACAGTAACATCCAATATGATGCTGAAAGTCTTTTTTCTAAAAAAAAAAAAAAAAAAGGTCTAAATTGAATTTCTGAAAAGGCACCTTCAGTCTGTTATTTCTGCTCCTACTTTAGGATGTGGAGACAGCTGCTGACCCAGTCCCTCAAAAGCATTCAAGACATTCAGACACTGGCAATTATATATACACACCTCCTATCAATTATTCATTGAAACATATGCTGTAACATACATACTTTAGTAAATCATATACATAAATGCTCTCAACTTTCTGAACTCCATATAAATCTTAAGAGGGATTCACATTGCATTTRTTCCTTACTAGTGACTCTGAACCGATTTTGTTTTTGTGACATTAACTTTTATAGTCATAATTTAAGTTGTTTTGGTGTTAAAAAGGTCTAACTACTCTAATATAGGGGGAAGACTGAAGAGAAGGGGAAATGTTTAAAATAGCACTTGGTCAAAATGATCACGTAGAAGAAAAACACTCTAGGAAACTCCAGATTAGCATATCCAAAACTGATCTTCAGGGAYCACAGTTACAAGATACCACAGTTTGATGAATTTACAAAAAGACCTTAGGTGGACAGAAGCTGTATTTACAAACACCAGCTAATCCAACTTAACAGGTAACAGGAATCACTTTGGAATAAGAACAAAGGACAACATATCATTTTTTTTCTAGATAGGGTAAAAGAATTCCAAGCACAGAGTTTAAACAGGAATATAAGACATAGAAAGAGAACCTGAGGAAACAAGTAGAGACTTAAGACAAAGACTACTGGCAATTTAATCCAAGTCTTTCCTTTACGTAACATAGAGATAATAATAAAGTATTCAACTGAAAACTGTAAGAAATCATTTAACCAACACTGCCATCAGGCGTTCTGATTGTGTATTACTCTGCATTTCCCTGTTACTGCAACTTGGTATTTTTAGGTCTATACATCTACTTTCTGTATCTACTTATACTATGATTCGTATCAGTTTCAGCTGAAATWAGTCATCAAACACTTTTGATGAGGTTAGACAGTTTTCCAGCAAAGTCCAGAAGTATTAGGAAGGGGCAATACTCCGATCTGCTCATTGGTGACTCTTTCCTACGTGGAATTCACAGGCATCAGAGCAAGCAGCTCAAACAGGATGCCCACAGAGAGGTTTGTCACATAAAGAGCTGCAGTCTGTGGGGCCACATGTTGATTTTGGCACAGATCCATGCCAGAAAAAGTGGCTACAGTTTATTGCTGTCTGTTACTGAGAAATACTAAGGTAGAAAACGAAGCAGTTGCACTGTCCTCTATTTGACTGGCACAGGTSTCCCAAGTTTCTCTCAAGGAGGAGAACTCATTTGGAGACCACAAATAGGCAWCTCCTTCCCAAAGCAACAAAACTCACCCATTTCTGTAATAAACATCTTCTGTGGCTTACTTAACGTGCCCCAAGAACTTTCAAGTTAGATAATTCTTTATTAATAACTGCTTCGGAAATGAACTAGAATAGTTAGTTCTCCAAGTATTCTGAAGTCTTCCCCTTTTGCCAGGCAGTGTTTCTTCATGACTACAACAGCACTGCTCGCTCATGGCAGCGCGTCACAGAAAGCCCACRTGAAAGACCACAAGGAAAACACGAAACAGCAGCAAAACATGAGGGGTAGCCACTGTTCTGTAAAAAACGCAAGATGGGGAGAAGGTAATTTTAAAAACATGGTCACAGGCCCAACAACAGTTTGACCCACGTGCTTGTATAACAACGTAGTTCCTTTATGCTTGCTGGAATAAATAAATGAATAAAAGTTAGCAACCTCTACCATGGACCAGGGACTACTACCATAATAATTTTCAGAATTTAAAGGCAAGTCTTGAGTTACAGGGGGAAAATACTAATACTTCTGAGAAGTATAATGCAAGACATTGTTACATATATACTTTTTTCTTCCAATAAGAGCTTCTTAGCTCCACCGCAAGCGAAGAGAATTCCTGTAAATTGACTTACAGCAGTGAGACCCCCTTCACTGAAGGTACATGAGAAGACTTTTTTCCTCTGTGGAAAGAGATTGTTCATGCTGCAGATTTTTATGGAACAGTTGCTTCAGATTTCTAAGACAAGTGACCATGTGGATCACTTTCAGAGCTCATGAGAATCATTTTTAATTCAATAGGAAGGCACTAGTTACTGTCATGACACAATCTGATTCTCTATTACAGGAGATGGTGACTCTATTTCTAAACAAACCCAGAACTCGGCTAAATGACTATTTATGAAGAGTTAGGGGGTGAGGAGAGAAAAAGAAGAAATATTTGAAGACAATCACAGGAAAAAAAAAAAAAGAACTTATATAGGGATGAAGACAGGCTACTTAAATACCACTGAATAGCCCCAGGTGCGACTCACCTGCAATTGTGTGTGCATAGAGTCTGCTGCCAAAAGTAAACACATGCAGTTCATAGAGCTTGGCAATTTTTTCCAGGAATTCCTTGCAGTGAGGGCGCAAACGAGTGTGCAACATAGGCTCACCTCGACTTAGCTGGAAATGAAATATTCCCTAGAAGAAAAAGCATTATTTTGTATATTAACAAAACCAAGAGACCAACATTGGAGAAGTACCCCTTAGAGCATTTCCATTGCTTTACTTCAGTCGACTGAGTTGAGATTTAGCCAGAAAGATTATCAGAGTGAACAAAATCCAAAGCATAGTTGCTCAACRCAAAACAGACAGATGTTAAATTTTGTAAATGGAAGAAGCTACACTGTTGAAGCATTAATAGTGTAGCTTTTGTTCATAGGTTCACTTGCACCAGAGCAACCCCACAAAAGCAACGTAAGAAATATCTTAAAGTTCAGGATGTCACTCTACTCACCACCACCCAGTGACTTGCAGATTTATTTCTATATTTTAAGCTTAAAGACAGACTTTCAATTGGATTAAACAAACAAAATGGGCAAATAAAACRTAACAAAAACCTATCCTATGAATACATAAAATCAGAGAGCAACTGGGAAGGAGCTTTTGCAGAAAACACCTCCATTTTTTTTATGCAGATGAAAGACACAGCCTTTCAAACATATTTTTTTTAATCTCTAAACTGCGTATTCACTGTTATCTTTCCTGGCAATTAAAAAGTACATTTATGAGTTGATTTTGCTAGCAGGTAGGAATACATGCAGAAATAGGAAAGAACTAAGCAGCTGCATTTTGCAAGGCACTAAACTGCAATTTGATGTTGCATCCTCCTGTATCCAACCATGTAGACACATCCCAACACACTGCTGGTTTCAAAGTTTCCAAATACTACAGTCCAAATGTCCCCATCAGTTCAAAATAAGTACTTCATGGAGAAATTAAGCACCATCACCCCAGAAGAAAGAACTGAAGAAAAAAATAATTACTACACATCTCTACGGAAGAATGACGGGAATAGGAGAGCCACAGAATTACCCTAAAGAGGATGTCTAACTGTAATTCACTATATCCACCCGGGACTCTGAAGAAAAAAGCCTCACTATTGGGCATTCAGTTTCTGAATCTTACAGTGAAGAATGCTATTTGATATTTCTTGCTTATAGTGACTGGAAGTGCAGAAAAGCATAAATGGAGGAAAGAAAATGGCCAATTAAGAGAGATAAAAAAGGCAATATATTTCAGATAGCATTTTCTCATCTGCTTTTATGCTCTGAATAATTATTTTATCTACCAAAAGTTTTCTTAAATAACCATCACTTCAAGATGCCTAGAAATATTCCTGTCACGACTGTGGCGGGAAAGTTAACTGCAGATATTTACCTTGTTAGACATTTGTTGGCAGTGCTGCTCTGTAGTATGGATCAGCGTCTGGTCCAAATCCACCATGAGCACCAGTTTCCGATTTCTGTGTAGTCGCTGCTGATCTTCCCTTCCTAGCTGTTCAGCTTGCTGTAAGGAGAGATAAAAACAAAAAACACACAACCGAGTTTAGCTTAGAAGAAATAACACTAGATTTATTAACTTCTGTCTATTGCTAGCTCAAGAAAATATCCTGCTAAAAAGTAACTGCATGGGAAGCAACACTTCAACATAGCTGTAGCAATGGCATCTGTCAGTCATTTTTCCGTAGGAAAAAACTATTCCAAGAATCTTCTGTAAGACCTATGCCACAACAGTAATTGAARACTGATACATTCAGTACAATATAATAAAAAAAAAAGAAACAAAAGAAAGTAATCTAAGGCCAAGATGCTTGAAAGAAACTAGCAGTGGCTTCACAGTGCACAAAACTAGAGAAATTAATCACTACTTCTGAAAACATTGTCTAGTAAATTCAGAAATTTTATGACATCAATTGAATACATTYGATGACTACACTGAGTATCAAATTGAAGCTGCTGTTGACAGAAACCATTATGGTTGTCACCAGAATTTTAAAGAGTATGTCCTGACATGTTCTATGCAAGCACTGATATTAAAAACCTTATATACCACTAGCTTTGAATTACTGTTCTCCTGCTAACTTATCTTCCTACCAGCATGGAGATGGAGGCATCCTCTTGGAAGAGGAAGAAAAAGGGCGGGGGCAGAAAGCATTCTGGTTGCAATTAAAAGCATTTTAGTAAGAAATAAATAGGATATTTCTTTTTAAAGTAAACATGTTTTTTCCTCCAACAAAACAGAGAGGAACAAGAAACTAGCATGTTTCAATAACTCAGCAGAACAGAATCTTTGAAAATACGGAAAGGAATTTAAAGCACAGGTAAGTTGCACACAAASTAGCTTTACTAGGATCTCATAAAAGCCGTTTCAAGTTACCTGACTAAACAAGGTAAAGCTACCTCTGAAATACACGGTTAGCTTTGAGCACATCTCAGTTGCKCAAGATGGAGACTGAGCTTCCCCAATGTCCCTACTCTTGGGCACAAAACAAGCCCCCAACAATACCAAAAGCTACTGATACTCAACACATCTYCCCCTCTCAGCTGCTTTTTTTTCCCCCCTCAAAAAAACTCTATATGTAATTCCTGTAACCATAGGATTTTATGCAATTTCTCCTCAATTAAGAGCTGAAGTGAAAGGTGCAAATAAAGACTGCAGAAGGGTATTTACCTCAGAGCTAACTTTCAGTTCTGGGACACTGTGAACCATAGACACAGTTGCTGTGGATAATGGCACGTTCTGTTTYCCATTCTTGCTTCGTAACCTGACGACACAGGGGGAAAAAAAAGAGGCATGAAAAGGCAGAGAAACACTTTAGTCAACGAAAATTTGAGCACACTAAGACATCAAACTAGTCATTACTAGACAACGTGAAGTGAGACATTTTGATTCAGACTAATACGTCTTGCAAGGACTTTTTAATGAAAATTATTGATCAAAAGGGATGAGCAATCCAARCAGCTCACCATAAAAATACGGCAAAAAAGTTACTATAAACTTCCAAAGAATCACTGAAAAATTACACTAAGATGAAACAATAATATCTATTTATTGGCATTAGAGCACTGGGATTAAACTACAGTTCTGCAACTATTTGGAAAAAAAAYGTAACTTAAATATAGCTACCAAATCATTCTCATTATAAAACTGCTGCTTTAATAAAAACATCCACCCTCCACACACACGCATTTCCTCTTTGGCAGGCAGAATGGCATGCCACATGTGTGTATGTTCATGTGGATGTATGTATATATACACATATGTGAAGACATGTGTGCAGCATATGAGATTCTTTGAAACATGACCAAGTAATGCCACAGCTTCACAGAGTTCTTGGCTTTCAGCTTACGCAGGTCYATTGGCTGGGAAGTCAAGCATCTATGTTTAAATTTATTTCTGCTGAATCCCAAACAATGGATCTATGATCCGAAATACAGCAGTATAAGCTTTGTCCCATGTGACAAGGGCATGTTTTAATTCTCTCAAGTAACTAGTGCTATGACAGAAAAAATCTGGTACCACAGCAGCCAGAATGAAGCTTCACACAGATTGCACACATTACCAAAACCATGTGCCAAGCAGTTCACTGCTGCTTTCCTGGGGGAAGGGGGGAGGGGGGGGAATATTAAGGTTGTTTGGGACCTTTAAGTAGTGACAAAGACACGAACACAGGCTGAAAGACACTTTGATCACAGTGTAATGTTTGGGAGCACTGCAGATACCCAGAAGCAGCAGAGAGGTATTTCACTAGCCCCACTAGTCCAAAGATACCAAGGCCATTTTAGTCTCTTCCCTCCTTTGCATCAGAGTCTAGAACCTCTCTTATATGTAATGCTGGCCGGCATTTTAAGTGGGCATTTAAAACAAACCCGTTTTTAGCCCATTTATCGAACAACTATAAGAACTGCATGATGCATTGCTGCCTAACACCCAGCGAGGGCTGGCACTGCACTGGGCGCACGAGCTTTTCCCAAAGGAAGAGAAGCTCCGCTGCTCTGGAACTGCCGCTTGCTGCAGGCTGAGCGGACCCAACGCACCGCTCCAGACGCTGCTTTGTAGAGCAGGAGCTGAAGTTCCCCTAAGCAGAGCAGTACTTACCTAACAGAGAGAACAATTTACTGCCTGATCTGAATTAATCCAGACTTTTTTCTAAGTAGTAGTTATTTAACAGGAGTACCACAATATTCAGGTGCACCTATACTCAAACTTCMGATCAGGTTATCGTTCTGGACTGGCAAAACCCAATTCTTTATTAAGCTCCATTTCCTGTTTGTTTTGCTGTTCCCCAAATACTCCCATTCTGACATTCATCACTAACGTTTACCAACATTCTGCCTTTCATTAGAAGTTAAATTAGCCCACCATTATGGGCTAATATTAACCTGTAATAATTAATTAGCCCACCATTAACTGGGCTAATTTCTAGCTTAATGTTATATTGCATATTTTTTAATCAATATTCAGTCTATCTATGCTGGTTTATAAGGTATATAAAACCATTCTTAATAAGAGGAGGAGTTAGATGAAAGAACCATGCATCATTTATTTCTAAAGTCCAATTAAAAATAATAATAAAAAAATTACAAATTTGGAGGGTTTTTTTTTTTTTTTTTGGCCCAGGACTTAAATTGCTTTAGTTTCATTTCTTTTCACAAGGAAATTGAAAATGATTCTGAAGTCTGAAATTGAAATCAGAGTTCCCAAATTACTATTTAAATACACATTTAGACAGTACAAGAAGGCAGGGTTACACGACCAATAAAACCTCATAGCTATTTACACCTGCAGAGATCTAGCTTTCAGGTTTCAGCCTCAGATATGAACACTTTTTTTTTTTAAATGCAATATACATTGATGAAAATTTTGGTCTGTATGTATAATCTTTATTTTCTCTACCAAAAATAATAAGTTGCCCTACATTTATCTTCACAGAAAGAATTTGCAGTTGCTGAATTATAGCTCATATTACAAATTCACACCCTCAACATGCACATGGCCTCCTGTTGACCCATACACCTTATTATTAAGGCCTGTAATAGTTAAAATAAATACAGTTCTAAACAATATAYCTGTGACAACAGCAACATAAGGAGAAAGACAGCCTGTATTTGACAAACTATTTCATGGTGGCAAAGCRAGCATCGCTGCAGTCACAGATGGTCATTCCGTGTTTAATGTGGAACTTAGYGACTTTGCCACCCGGTGACACCGGCACAGCCCCTGCCAGCTTTCTCTCTGTGTGCAGCAGCTCTGCCCAAGTGACACCAACTCCTGCCTGCAGCCTCTATCCCCRAGTAGCACCAACGCCCGCCTGCAAGCATCAACTTTGCAGTTGCAAAATACACTTCATTCCCATTAATAATCTGATCAGGAATGAGCACACAACCCCCTCAGCTTTAAACAAACCTTTAGCCCACCTCTGTATCTCCCCTCTCTCCCTTTTTAGGGAGGTTCAAGAACATTTCATGTTGAAAGTTAACATCTAGAAGAAACTCTCTCAGCAGCTCTCAGAGAAGCCAGCACAGAGAGGCTACCTACCTATTTATGCTAGGTATTAGGAACACCGTACTCCCTGCCTATGAGTATTTGCAGCTTCACAGTAAGACTTTTCTTGTAAGTTCTTGTAAGACTTACAAGAGAGATGCACTAGGATTACCAAGCCTCAGAGGAAAGAAGAGAAGGAAGGGAACGACAGAAGGGGCACTTCAATCCGCAAGCCCAAACCAGGGCAAAACGGAAGGCAGCCGGGAATACTCACTGCGTCAGGTCCTGGCCGCACTCGGCGCACAGCCCYTTCATCACGACGGGATGGCTGCATCCCTCCAGTCTTATCAAGATCCCCCTGAAAAGACAAAGGTGTTCTAGTTATTGCACACTGATTTCACACGTCTAGATCAATGACTGCAAGCTGCTTTTGCACAAAAGGGGAAAAAAATATTTGATTTGAAATATGTTACACTTAAACATCACTGGAGTATATATTAAGGTCAATTCCTAACCTTAACTTGCAAAGTACTTCAAGATAAATGCAAAAGGAGCAGCCTGTGTCCAGACACAAGTTGCGTGGAGTTAAATTCAACCTTCCATCAGGCCACAATCCAACAGTATGTTAATGAGAATTAACTGTGAAAAGCATTCAGCCCTTGAATGATTTTGTTTTGGCTTAATATTTTCTTGTTTCATAGTGGAAACATTACTTAAATTTTCTCAAAAAGTTGCTTTATGTTTTTAACAGATGCTTAACCCTCAGACTGCCACATGAGAAGGAAGACATGCAAATTGATTTTATTTTCACAAACAGCGAAAACCAACAAGAAATTTAGAGCCTGAAGTACAGAAGCATGACATTGACTGCACCAAACTACTCAGGAGACAAAGTCTGCTTTTCAGATGACCCATCCAGATGATGAGAACAGAATTTGAACAAAGGCACCAAAAGTCAGCATCTTGAAAATACCATTATTTCCTCTAATTTAATTTCAATATTCACTACCTGAGACACCTTGCATCTTCTTCAATACAACTGAAGAAGTTAAACTCAACACTGGGCCTTTCTTCAAGCTCTTACAAGTAGATAGAGCTCAGTTACTAAAATCCTCCCAGCTCTATGGGCTGCAACACCTCTCTAATTTTTGAAATATTAAAAAAAAAAGTCAAGGAGCTAAAAATCCATGCTCTTTTATAAGTTGTCTGTAGGTTTGATTCAAGGCTGGTTGAAGCATCCATTGGCTTCAACTTTTGATCACAACAAGCCAGTAACACCAGCACAAAGAAACCAGTTTTCCCCACTCAAACCTCTCTTTTATATTTTAGASTATTACACATTTGGAAATTCAAAAAAATCGATTTATATCCATTTACAAATGACACAGGGAACCGTTGGCTTCCAGTATGTCAAATGCTTTGTGTTAAGCTGAGGCCAGATGCTTGCAGCAGCAAATTTGCAGTTAATGCACATGTTTTCTTCTCCTCCTTCTCTTTGAAGGATCACATTCAAAACAAATGTATTTGAAGATGCCTCCTTGTAAATGACCCTATTACTAATATTCTTACTTACAGCAGTGCAGTAAATAAGGCAGCCATCCTTTGCCTAGCAATTGCATCTACTCTTCCTGCATAATCTTTTCTGATATCTTGCTTAATGAGATATATATTTGTTTCATAGAATACAAATTATAAGCAGTCAATCAGGTGGCAAAGGGACAGAGATATGCTATTTTTGTGTTCCTTCTCAGTCCTTTATGCTATTAAATGCTTATTTAGTTATTTCTTTTGAATCTCTGCACTGCTTAGTGCTTATGCTGATGTCTACATTACTCCTTCACTTTCCCCCTTCCTTTACAATGTATCTGTTTTGCTTTTTTTCTGCCTTGGCCCATCACTGAATTCTTTCCTTATGGCACGGCTACCAGCTCACACACACAAGCCTGTCAGAATTGCTTCATTTAACCTCTGGACAACAGACAAAAAAAAATAGAATTACACAGGTACACAGGCACTTGAAAGGCTCAAAAGTCAATGCAAGCTATTAAAAAAAATGCATGTAAGAGCTTATAGTGACTAAGCATCCTCACTTACCCAAATTATCTTTTTCCCCCAAACTATTGGGGAAAACACACACATACACACACACGTTTTTCATGTCATCTTTGAAAGCCCAAGTGTCACATGCTTTTTCTCCCTTGCATCTGCGCTCTCAACGCAAGATGCCAGGCAGGCTCCACAAAGGGCCAGCATACTCCTGAGCTCAACTAAGACTTAAATTTGGACACGCACCAGTTTCCATTCATGTATAGGTGCATGTGTTCTTGTTCCGTGATCTAAATAGAGCAGAGGTTCTTCTAATAAAATTATACATTTACATAAAAATGTTATTTTTCTGAAGAGCACCTGTGTAATATACTGAACAGCAGGGCTACACATCTGTTCTGCCTGTGCATGCTCWAATATGATGAGAGGATCTGATTTGCTGATGCTTGCTGGAATTAAAAAGTGCATGGCACAAAATGCTCTGCCACACCATTCTGCACTCCGATGCTTAACCCAAAGGGCAGACAAAAAACTCTAGAGCACAGAAGAACTTGGGAGCACTGCACAACCAAGAGGGTCAAACTGCTAGGTTCTTGGTCAGGCTTCCGAGTACTTAATGATGCAGAAAGTCCATCAACTAGTTCAGCACCAGCATTCAAGGAAAACTATTTAAAAAGAAAAGTAGAGCACCCTTTCTCAAGTATCACAACCATACAAGTGAGCCAGGCCCTGAGGAAGTGCAGGCAGAGGTGAAGAGCACACTTATTTTGAAGGACAGGTCATTCTTTCCTCCAATACTTGTCCCCGCTCTCACTGCCAAAGCCCTGCAACAGGAGATCTATGTGCACTGCCTATATTATATCTTTCAYGCAACAAAGCACAGAGGGATTTTTAGGTGAAATTTAAACAAGAAAATAAGGAAACCYACCCTACCACCTTGCACACATTCTTTCCAGATGTGCTTCTAAGGAGCAGAGACGCTACATGTGCCATTATAGAAGGTTTATTTTTGCTGCAACGATCAGATACATGAAAAAATATCATCTAATGGTCTCAGGATGCAGCAAACAACCATACATCTGTCATTACTCTCCCAGCACTTTCACACTTTGCCCATTTCTAAAAAAATCCCCCACTTTTAACAGTATCTGCCTTCCATCAGCAACAGAGGAAAATAAAAAGGCGAGGCAGGGAAAATAAAATCTTTCATTAAATCCAAGCACTTTGCTCTCATTAATAGATGTAGTGAACGGCCATGATAACTCTGAGGCCTGATCATTAGTGCCGAAGCAAAACACGAGCCATTAGCATCAAACACAACACGGGCTGAGGTTTCCTGTGCACTGTTTTCAGTGGAATAGGCCCTTCCTCAGCCAGCTGCAGCGCGGTGGCTCTCAGGTGGCTTTCCTGMAGGAAGTTCCCACAGAAGTGCAGCACCAGGGCACGGTGGCAGGCAGATCCCCTTGGTGGCCTCACTTACCTCTAGCATCCAGCGCTTCCCCAGATAACTGGAGCTAGGCCTGGCCTTTCCTCACACCTCAGCTCCTCTTCCCAAATGCCCGCCTACCTACCTGTTGCCAAAGAACAGGAACATTTCACCTACTTTTTCCTCACCCCAACCTTTCCCGCAAAAGCCCCCTCCAGCTCTGGCATTTCTCACAATGGAATTTCCTGCAGTTAACACAGAAAATACATGGTGCACTTTGTGAATGGGAAAACAGGCAAAACTTACAAACCATGCATTTGCTGTCCTGCATTTGTTTATATCTCCTTCACATCTATCGAAAGCCAACGGACTCCTGGATCAGGTCCTCAACCTAATGCCATATACCTTTTGTGATTAACATTAGAAGTCAAACTGTACTAATGCAGCAAAACAAAGCCACCTTCGGCAGTACAACTAACAAAAGCTCCACAGGTTTCTGAGGAGCTTTTCAGAGTTCAAGAGCATTATTGAAAACCCAGCAGGCAGTGTCAATATCAAATGAATGTAAGCCACATCCATGCTTATTAATACCACGTCCTATTGAATTATCAAATACGAGTGCATCATCTTTTAGCAGCTGCTGTTAGACTAGGATGGCAGCACATGAAACCTGGCCCAATTAAAAGGCTACTTCTGCAGTTCTACTTTGGCAATATTTTCTCAGGCTATGGTAGAAGAGCATTTTGTGGCAAGTRGCTGCAGCATTCAGACCCATGACAAATAGCCCTCCAGTGCAATTTACCATCATATCAAACCACCATCTCTATTACAACCTCTGAACGTCCATAGGAAGCATTTTCCAGAGCCTTAATCACCTTGAAATCACCATGAAAGCTAATTCCTTAGACAGGTAACCATCAGTTTTGATCATTTAAAACCAAACAATCAAGCAACAATAATAAAATCCATCAAGAAGTAGGTAACAGATCCTTAAATAATTGATTAAAAATACCAAAAAATGACACAACATACACGGCATCATATGGCTTGAGGCAACCACAGCCTCCAGCCCCTTTCAGGTTTTGCAGTGAGTGATTTCTATGTAGAAGTCTCGACCTACACTAAACACCAAGGAGACAAAGCTGTGTTTCCAATACACAGAAGCTCAAAGGCCTCAAGGCAACCCTTTTGATTAAAAGAAAAACAAAAATCTATCTTAATGTGATAAAGACATGAGGGTAGAGATGTCACATTTACTGCAACAATAAAATAACTGCCGTAAGCATTGCTTCGTAGGACGAATGGTTCAAACTTCAAAGCATCATCTCAACTCTTCAGAGAGAGCATGAATGATATGAGTTGAGACATTCTTCTGCTAAATTAATCACAATTCACAGTTCTTAAAACTGTGTGTAAACATAAAAACATTCTAGAACAGAAAAGCTGAAAAATGWTTCTCTGCTTCTTAGATAAGGTACCTGGTTAGATACTGTCAACTGTACTATGTAGGTCACGAATACCAGCAGAAACATTAGGACCAGAATTTCTGGAGTTTATTATTTATAATACAAAAGTCATCTGAAGCATGAGCTGTCTACACATTTCATTTGCATGATTTCCAAGCCATCAAGTTACATTTCAGTCCACTCCTGAAGAAGAGTTTGGTGTTAGAAGGACAGGGATAGGCTCCCTCTCAGCCTGCACAAACAACCCCGTGGTCACCTTCTTGCACTCTGCAAGAAGCCACTGTTGGAAGYGCACGGTGGAAGCCTAAAATTCAGGAAGAAAATAGTTTGAAAATGCAATGCCCTTTCACACAATCTAGTCACACTTTCARTGGCAATACAGAATGGCTTTTATTCCATCTACAATATTTACATTACAAA